ACAGGATGTTGGTTAAAAGGCTGAAGGAGTAAACATTCCTCCCAAGCCCTATACACAAAAGGCATATTTTGAATTGAAAGGAATTCTGTTCCTGGAGATGTTAAAAAAAAAAAAAGGAGAATTGAGTCTAGAAGATGTAAGCCCTCATTTTTTCCGCCAGTCTCAAGGTTTTTGTTTTTTGGGTTTTTTTTTTTCAAAAGCTTTTCCTGGCTAAGGTTGCTCCCTAATAGAAAACGGTTCTTCCAATGGAATGACCATCTGCTCCCCTACAAGCTAAGGATTAGAGGAGTTCTGGAAACGCAGCACTTAGGACTCACACCTGCTGCAAATTTGCAAATTCTTGGTCTGTGTTATCACAGCAGCACAGGCCCCTCGAGTTGGCCCCACCCAGCTCCCTTCTCTGACTGATGAGATTTTTTTTTTTTTTAAAGAGCTCATAGGAAAAATTCCACCAAGATACTACACACCCAAGAAGGGGGTTGGGGCCGGATTGGGCAGATGCTGATAAACTCCCGTCAGTTTGTGGTATCAGAGGGAAGCAACTATAGGGGATAATCCTGCCCAACATCTGGGCTCCTCTACGTCCTCACCAACGAGGCAGCTGCTCTGCACCCTGGACGCCCCCAAACGCCTCAAATACTAACAGCAGTCAGCTGGAGCCAGCCGAGTGGGAGGTGATGGAACGATATGGAATTACTGCATGAGGCATGAATGGTGCATGAAAGGAACAATGCCTAGGCCAGCAAGGAAAAGAAAGACAGTGCTGTTTTCCGCCAGCAGTGCACCCAAGCACGGCCAACCCATAGTGGGTGGGGGGCTCTGGGAGAGCTCAGGCGCTCACTTCCTCCCTCCCATCACACCAGGGGTACCAGTGTTGCAGCTCCACGTATGCACACCCTCAGGCGCTCCTCACAGGGTGTGGGTTTAGACAGCAGGTGGGGAGGGGGGTGCAGGGTGTGGAGTGGGAAGAGCCTAATGCTTAGAAATAACAGCCTGGATTGGGTCCAGGCTCTGCTACTTCCTGACTACATGCCCTCCTGGAAAATGGGGATAAGGCACCAGGGTTGCTATAAGGACGATGAAGCTAGGGATGCTCTCCAGGGAGAGGGTCTCACCAGATCAGCCCTGGACACTGGGTTAAGCCTTCTGAGAAAGTCGATCTGCCCAACACCCACCCATAGAAAGAATTCTCAGTCTTTCACATTCCCACGCCTCCTGAAATGGCCCCTAAACCAGCCCACGACCCAGACAGACCCTCTCCATGCTTAGGTGCTGCTCCAGAGACCCAGACTTAGGTGGGGATCCGCCGGAACCATCCTCAGTGCCACGTGGGTGGCAGCGTGACGGTGAGTCTACCAAATGGGCTGAACTGCCAGTGGTTTTTACGATTAGTTGGAAAAACTCAATGCAATGAAATTTTAAAAGAGATCTGCCTTTCTTAATACAGAAGTATAAAGGTAAACAATGATCTCAGAGGGGGAAAAAATCCTTAGCCCCATTTCAAGAATTAGGAGTAAATGGTAAATCACTACCATCCCACTTTATGCTACTTTAGATTCTAAAAATAGCTGCCCCTCCCTCCTCACCTCCACCAGATAATTCCCTCTCCTCCTCAGACAAATCAGGGTCTGTTGAGGCAATCCTGTGCCTCAGGGATCCAGACCCCACCTCACATTCAGTGCCTGTGCAAGAGAGACAGAGACATAGAGACCGACAGTGATCCCTAACTTTTTTCTTTTTGGGGGGAGGGGATAAATAGGTTTGTTTGTTGGTTTATTTGTTTAGTTTATTAATGGAGATATTGGAGATTGAACCCAGGACCTCGTGCATGCTAAGCATGTGCTCTACCAATGAGCTATATCCTCCCCTCCAGAGATCCCTACTCTTAAGTTCCCAGTGACAGAAAAATCTGCATAGGAATTAAGAATTCTTTGTACACAAGAATGATATTACTACCTCACAAGCACTAGGACGCAAGCTTTGAATTGTTTTTCCAGGAGCACACGTTCAACTCCATCCCCTGGTGCCAAGTTTCAGAGTGGCGGCTGCGCTCAGGGACACAGGTGAGGCTTTTCTGAAGTGCTTAGAGTCCACCCCTCCGGCTTCCCTCGTATCAATCACCCTTTCAACAACCTGCCTAACAACCCCAAAAAAGCAAATCAAATTGGCCAGTGTTTTAATAAAATAAGAAACAAACTGTACAGCATAGTGGACAGTGTGGAAAATGATGCAGTACAGTGTATTGGAGCAAAGGGGACTAAAGCACGCGGACCAACTTTCACTCACTTTTCTGTGGGAACTGCCCCCACAAAAGATGGTGGAAATGTTCCTGGTGGTTGAGAAGTGTGTAAGCTACTAAAGGCACACTCTCCAACACACAAATACACATG